GTGGGCTGGCTGGCAGACCTCAGTAGCCAGGGGAGCATTTTCCCAGGCTTAACTAGGACTGCTCAAGAAGCCTCTACTGCTCTTTGCGTGCCTGAGCTTCAGGGATGCTCGCCCCCAAGCCCGCGAGGGTCCGTCGGAGGAAGGTATGTCGTGGGGAGAGGGGCAGGCAGCCGGCCTGGATCATCGCTGCTGGGGACGGAGAGGAGGAAAGCATCCAGGGCCAACACCAGCCCCCAAATACCTCCAGCCTTCATCTGAACCTGAAGTATTCGAAGAACAAACTCGCTACGTGAAGAGCAGGAGTTAAATGGGTTGGCAGCGCTGGGGTAAGGCTGCAAGGCAGAACTGACACCGGTCCTGGTGCTGACAGCTTCTAACTTGGAAGTAACGTTTGCTTGGCATACTTTCTCAGAAGGAGACTTTGCACTTTGCACCCATGGAACGTGGAACTGTGTTGTCCTCGTGCTGTTACTATTTGCTCTTTTTGCCCTGAGGAGCTTTCTACATTTTCCTTTTGAAAAACAGGGGGCTCTTTGGGGGCAGGCACTATAACCCCGTGGCTGTTTTAACTTTCAGCTGCCGCCCATCAGCGGACCGAGGTGCGCTCGTGCAGTTATCCCATTAGCTTAACATCTGCCAGAACGCCCTTTCCCCACAGGGGCTGGATTAGGCTGGAACTGACCCAGCTCTTGGGAAGCTTTTCCTATCACGTACTCGTGGCTTTCAATCTGCTGCCCTCACCGTAACCAAACCCAGTGCCCGTCTCTCGCCGCAGAGCAGGGAGCTTTTGCAAGCAAAGCAGTGATTTGGCTCTACCGTTCCCTCCAAGTCTGTCTGTTTAAGTGTTCAAACTGCATCGTGTTTAAATGTTCAAAATCACATCCTCTGTATCACGTAGATACTCGTATTTTCGATCTCAAGGGTTGTTTTAGCTGCGATGACCCGCGCTGGGCTGCTTTTCACATCAATACGGAAAATAAGAGTGTTTCAAGGGGGAGGTGAGGGGCAGCAGCAGGCCAGATGCTGCTGGTGGACTTGATTTCTTCTCTCAGCCTGATACAAAGGTTCGGGACAAACTTCCCCAGCACCTGCTGGCTGGCAGAGGAGCCAAGCTCAGCAAGGGCCGGCACGGAAGTCGCTGGCGTCCGGCGCTGCATTGTGGAAGGCATTGAATCGCTGCCAAGGAGCCGTCCCTGGATCTCGCTCTCGCTCATCTTACAACCTTGGACCAGTTAATGAATTCAAAGTCCTCCAGCCCTTGCCTCCAAGCATCTTGAGTATGTGGGGTGTGTGAGCCAGGGCGACCGTCGGCCGGGCTGGGACGCTGCCGCCCGGGCGCTGGCAATGCTCCTGGGCTGCTCCTGCCAGCCTCCTGCAGCTGCAAAAGGCGCCTTTTATTTTTTGCCTCAGACCTGCTTCTGGCCGTGTTTGCTGCAGCTTTCTGGCCCTCTTTAGGGAGGGATGGGAATATTTCAAACCAAGGTAGCAATGATGTGTTCTCCCTTAAATAATGCTGTCTGCACCTGCAATCTCAGGATCTCAGCTCCTGCCTTACCTGTTTGCCTGATACTTAATAAAGAAATGATCGTCTGCATTTTCCCTTGGTACGAAGTTACACTTTTAAACACGGTACCAAAGCTTCCCAGCTTTTGTTTCCATCGTGGACCTTATTAATGATTTACGAAGGGGGCTGCATCCCCCCATGAGGACGAGCTACAGCTTTTCACCTTGTTTGAAGTTGCACATGGGTTGCCTTCAACCAAAGCCTCCAGGTCGCAGCCTGAGCCTCCTCGCTTCAACTCTATGCTTGCTTTTGCTCATGGTTGCCTCTTCACCATGCCGGCATCCCCCCAAGCCCCGCCGTGCCATGGGGGAGAAGGGCCTCCATGGCTTCTCCTTCCCCTC